GTGTTCATCTACTATAAAAAAAATAGGAAAAAGTATTTGCTAATCATGTATTTGATAAGAGATTGACAGCCACAATAAATAAAGAACTCCTGCATCCCAACAAAAATAACAATAATTTTTTAAAAACCTGACTCAAAACTGGGCAAGGAACTTAAACAGACATTTCTCCAAAGATGATACAAAAATAGCCAATAAGAGCCATGCACGATGGCACATGCCTGTGATCCCAGTAGCTCACTAGGCTAAGGCAGGAGAATCTAAGTCTGAGGCTAGCCTCAGCAACTTAGTGAGACCCTGTCTCAAAATAAAAAAATTAGAGGATTGGGGATATAGTGCCCATAGGTTCAATCCTCAGTACAAAAAAAAAAAAAAAGATGAAGAAGAAGAAATAAATACTAAGTATATGAGCAGGTGCTCTCAGCAACACTGTTCATAAACGAAATACAAATTAAAACTATATACCATTTTGCACCCATTAGAATAGCTATAATTAAAAAAAAAGAAAAAAGTGTTGACAAGGATATGGAGCAACTGGAATCCTACACATTCCTCAGAGGGATTTATAATGGTGCAATCACTGTGGAAAACAATATTGCAGTTCCTCAAAAAAATTAAATGTAGAATAACTATAGGCAGAGGGGTTGGAGGGGAAGGGAGGGGGCATGGGGTTATTAATGATGGTGGAATGTGATGATCATTATTATCCAAAGTACTGATAAGAAGACATGAATTGATGTGAATATACTATGTATACAACCAGAGATATGAAAAATTGTACTGTATATACATAATAAGTATCATAATGCATTCCGCTGTCGTATATAAATAAAAAATTAAAATTAAAAAAAAGAATTACTATACAATCTAGTAATTCCACTTCTTGGTACATACCCAAATGACTTGAAAGTAGGATCTCAACGAGGTATTTTTACACTTATGTTTAAAAGGTATTTTCACAAGGTGTTTTTACACTTATAGCAGCATTATCATAATAGCCAAAAAGTAGAAACAATCCAAGTATTCATGGATGGATAAATAGATGAACAAAATGTGTTATATGCATACATACACACATAAATATTATCTAGCCTTAATAATGAAGGAAATGCTGACATATTTCTATAGTACAGATGAGTTTTGAAGACAATGTGAGTAAAATAAGCCATTCACAAAAGAACAAATATTGAACAATTCCACTTATATAAAGTATCCAGAGTAGTCACATTCATAGAGACAAATGGAATGGTGGTTCCAACAGGCTGGGAAGATATAAAGATAGAAGTTAATTGCTTAATGGGTACAGAATTTCAAGTTTAAGAAAATGAGAAAGTTCTAGATTTGGATGGCAGTTATGGTTTCACAAAAATCTGAATGTAATTAATGACACAGAACTGTACACTTAAAATGGTTAAGATGGTAAGTTTTGTTATATATAATGTAAAAATAAACAAAAGGAAAAAACTAACGATACCAATCTTATTTTCTAGAGATTATGAGAATAAGAAATGCTTCATAAATAATCTAATGAAGCCAAACTATCTGATAATCAAAATGTGGTAACCACATCACAAAAAAGAAAAATGTTAAGCCATTATCACAAACACAGATGCAATGAAACTAAACAAAATCCAACAATATGGAAAAAGGGGACCATAACAACTAAGGTTTATTCTAGGAATGCAAGATTAGTTTAATTAAAAACTCAATGTAATTTATAACATTAACAAAATAAAAATCAAATATGAAATCATTAAATATAATATTTTACATAATTCAACATTCATTAAACATTCTAAAAATTTATTGGAAAGTAGAAACAGAAGAGAATTTCCTTATCCCAATAAAGGGTGTTCACAACTAATACAATGACATAATATTTAGTTCCCATTAAAGTTGGGAACAAAAAAAAAAAAACCTATTCTCACTATGTCTACTCTACATTGTAAGAGGCCCTAGCCAATTCAATAATGAAAAAAAAAAAAGGTACAAGGTAAATAAATGTTATTTTATTTTATAATGAAATAAAACTGTCATTATCTTCAGATAACATGATTGTCATTCCCAAAGAATCTAATAAAAAGCAGGTCACATTGGAGTATTACCAGCCATAAAAAAGAATGACTATAACTTCTTCGGGTAAATGGATGGATCTGGAGACTATCATGCTAAGTGAAACAAGCCAATCCCCCCCAAAAAAAACAAAGACTAAATGTTCTCTCTGATATGCAGACGCTAACACACACTAAGTTGGGGGAGGGAGGGAACAGAAGTTAAGTGGATTAGACAAAGGGGAATGAAGGAAAGGAAGGGAGGATGGGAATAGGAAAGACAGTAAAATGAATTAAACATAACTTTTCTATGTTTATATATGAATACACTACCAGTGAAACTCCACATTATGTACAACCACAAAAATGGGATCCTAATTATAATGTTATACTCTATGAACATATATCAAAATACACTTTACTGTCACATATATCTAAGAAGAACAAATTTAAAAAGTGTTAGACAAATTAGAAAGACAAAAATTTCATAAGACATGAAAGATCCTAACTATATAGAAAAAGATAGTGGATTTCAATAAAATTATGAACTTCTATTCATCAAGATAACTGTAAGAGAGTAAAAAGATAAGCCACAAACCAAGAGAAGATACTGAAAAGCATGAAAATATGTATCTGGCAAAGAACTCATCTTCCAAATATTAGAAAAATTCCTAGAGATTTAGGTATAGCTCCATGGTTAAGGCCATGGTTTCATCCCCCTACCTCTACCATTCACCCACCCCACAAAAGTAACTCCTGGAGAGATGCAAAGACAGAAAACCCGTTTAAAAAAAAAAAAAAAAGGCAAAAATCTTGCTAAGCACAGTAGCGCACACCCATAATCCCATCTATCCAGGAGGCTGAGGCAGGAGATCTACAAGTTCCAGGCCATCCTTAGAATTTAGCAAGACCCTGTCTCAAAAAAAAAAGCTACAGATATAGCTCAGTGGCAGAGCAACCCTAGATTCAATCCCCAGTACTGCAAAAAAACTTAAAGAGAATTTACAAAAGAGGATATCCAAATGACCAGTAAGTATGTGAAAAGAAACCATTCTCATCATTAGTCATTAAGGAAATACAAATAAAAATTACATGAGATATCACTACATACCCATCAGGAAGGCTAAAATTAAAATAACAAATGTAAAATAACTGGAATTTTCATACACTGTGAGACTGTAAATTGATAAAAACCACTTTGCAAAATTATTTGGCAGTATATATTAAACACATGCTTACTTCTTAAGTATACATCTACAGAAAATTAATACTTGCATCCATCAAAATACATGTACAAGGATGTTCTCTGAATAGGAAAGTAAACCATGGACTCTTTATGCAACAGAATACTATAGGTCAGAACTGGGGCTGTAGCTCGGTGGTAGAGTGCTTGCCTAGCACATGTGAGGCACTAGGTTCAATCCTCAGCACCACATAAAAAAATAAGTAAATAAAATAAAGGTATTTCGTCCATCTACAATTTAAAAATATATAGAAAAAAAAAGAATACAGGGTTGAGCTATAGCTCAGTGGCAGAGTGCTTACCTAGGTTGTGTGAGGCTCTGGGTTTGATCCTCAGTACCACACAGAAATAAATAAATAAAATAAAGGCATTCTGTCCATTTACAACTACAAAAAAAAATTTTTTTTAAAGTAATACAATAGGGCAATATGAAGAACTACTGTTCATCCAACAATATAAATTAATCTCACCTATAATGTTCAATGAAAAAAAAAAGCCAGACACAAATGATTCCAATATATTTGACACTTAATAATAATGAACAAGGGCTGGGATTGTAGCTCCATGGTAGAGTGCTTGCCTGGCACATGGTGAAGCACTGGGTTCAATCCTCAGCACCACATAAAAACAAATAAAACAAAAGAAAGGTATTGTGTCCATCTACAACTAAAAAATAGATATATATCTGTATATATACATATACACACATATACATAAAGAATGAATGAAACATCTATTTGACAGATATCAGATTATCAGTCATCTCTTTTAGGAGTATGAATACTGAATACAAAGGAACGCAAAAAAGCTTTTGCCATACAGGTGTATATAATAAAAACTGAGATTTGTGCTTATTAAGAAAAATAAACAAAAAAATTAAGACACCCAATTAATCTGAGGGAAAAAAAGAAGCCAAGAGTTTCTTAGTGTTAATTCTAGATTATTCAATAATGGAGCAGGTGGAGGAAGAGAAAAATTGATAATCAACACCATCAGATTAAGTATTCCCTCATCACCTAAAAGGCAGCAGGTCTCTGATTCTTTAGCTTCCACAGATACTTTGTATCCTCAAAAGTAACAATTGCTTGGAATACGTTACTATTAAGTGTACTAAATGAACTAATAAATGTGAACTATGTAGTTTACTTCAGATCATTCTCACATTAAAAGAAACTAAAAAGAAATGGCTTAGTAAAGAGACTTTCAATTTTACTGCCATTCTCAATCCGTGTCTACTGAGTTCTGTGAGGATACCATGGGTAATGTCATATTTCCTACTGAAAGAACCTTTCTCAAGATCTAATCTTACTGTCTTTCACTCTTCCACTGTCCAAAAAGGAAAATAAGAAAGTAATATTTTGCAGCTTCAGACATAATTTTGAAATGTACATTATCCCCTCCCCATCGAGGGTACATCTCCAGTGTCCTAACACTTAAGAATTAACAGTTTGAACAATTCTGACAAGAACAACGAAAACATTTTCCTATCAATTGAAACAACTTTGGGGAATACTACTGTTATAAACCCTTACTAAAAGAAACCATTAAAATATATATGTAAAATAAAGTATCTAGTTTCAGGGAAGCCCAAAATACGTTAGCAGGAAAAGTACATTTTTTTACAGCATAAAGGCAAAGCACAGAAAACAGATTATGTCAAAAAAAAAAAGTTGAAAATGTTTATAGTCAATGACAGCTACACAGCTTACCTGTTCTAGCACATCTAACTTTAACTCGAGCTTGCTGAGAACCACGTCTCCACCCCATAGTGAAAGCTGTAAATCCGAAGGTTTTAAATTCTTGATATAGCGATTCACATAGCTCATTAAAATTGGAGTTACATATGACTCCAACATCTTTTAAGGTTAGGGTCAAAGTCAGACTCTGAAAAGGGTTAACACGGAAACGTTAGAACTGAATCAGCCAGCGGTGCAGCGAGGTTTCTCCAGAAGCATTTCTCAGGAAGGACTGGAAAGGCCGAAAAGCAGCAGCTCGCCAACTACCACAGCAGAGAATATTCAAGCGGACTCCCAGCTACGACCACTACTTCTCCACTACTACAATTCGCCTCACCTGGCCTGGTGAGGAGTGGGAGAGAAGACAGCGAGTCCCCTGGAGTGAGAGGAGGAGAAGCAAGCTCCCTTAAGCTGCTGCAGCCCTTCACCAGCCCCGCCACCCCGCAAGGCCCTCGCCTCCCGGAACCCAGCCGGATCTTCCAACATTGAACCAGAACGAGAGCCAGGCCCGCTCCCACTCCCACCACCGCGGCCACAGCACCCCACCCTCTGGAGAAAATCACGCCAGAGTGCTGTGGCGTCTCCTCTACCCCGCGGTACCTGGCATGCGCCCCCGGCGGCGTCGCGGCTCTGGTACAGCGCCACTTCCGGGTGTGCCTCACTCCGTGCTCAAAACAGTACGTCTCTGCCGCCTCTTCTCCCACTCAGCAGCCCCTCTAGATTTCTCAGGTCTTTGAAGCTAATGGGTCTTCTTGAAGAACTCTTAAAAACGGCTAGCTTGTACCTCGGCACCAACCCTAATAGTTGTCAGGACAAAGCTCTAGGAAGTGCCTAGGGCAAGGGGCGGACCGGTAAAGTGGAGACACCCGAGATCCGGAAGTGGCGCTCCCGAGAGTTGGTGGTTGAGGGTGTGGGATCGCTACACCCAGGGCTGTTCCCGAAGTGGAGGTCAATCTTAGATGGGCCAACGCTAGGATCCATAGGTCCGTGACTGCGGGGAGATGGTCCTAGTACTTCAGACCCGGAAAATATATATATAATTGTTTCTCTGGGGAAACCGACGCAGTGAGCCAGGCCGCAGGTAGGAGGAGCGAGGTAGCGGGAAAAATTTAAATTGAGGCCCGAAGTTTAGTTGACGGAAAGAGGATGGGTGTAGAAAAAAATTGAAAGGATTAGGATGTACACTTTTGGAAGGAGCATTAAGATTAAACAGGCTCGAGTGTTTTGTTTTTTTGTTTTGTTGTTTTACTTTCACGAAGCAGGTGCACGATTTGGGGGAACCGTAAGATTACAATCTGATATGAAACTTCAAAAAAGCTGCTGGAATATCAAAATGAAGGAAGGCAGAATGCTAGAGACAACGTGAAAATAGTTGTTGGGAATGAATTCTGAAATTTGAAGATCAGTATTGGTTTTTGCTAGGCTATTATGAATGTATGAAATAGACCGTTCCTTGTAGCAGCTTGCAAGCTATCAAAGTCAAGGAACACTGACCTTATAGGAATAATAGGACCTTATAGGAATAATAATTTTTTTATCAGCTTATTTTTAGCAACCTCTGAAGAAAACACCTACCACTGAACTTTGAAAATAGACATTTCTTGTAAAGTTATTTAATACCTACCCTTGCCTAAAGCACTTTACTGAAATTCAAAAATTGATTTCTTGAAAGAATTTTAGTGACTTCAGGAGCAAAAAGGCATAAATAAGAATGCCAAGGTGTTTCGACTTTTATTAAGGGAAATAAGTTTCATGCAAAAAGAAAAGGAATAGCAGCCGATTGCTAATTCAGAGCAGCTGCTTCCTCATAAAAACCTCGATGAATAACTCCAACAATTTGAGTATTATAAAAATTTGGTAAATTAGGCAAATAAAGTAATTTCTTAGTTATCTGCTTCACTTGAAAAGCAAACAGGTTGAAGCCATGACTAAGAGGTTTTAATATAAAGAAAATGACTCCTCCCTCTAATTGTGGAGCTCTGGGTAGTCTACACTAGGATATCCGCGTCTTGTCATTTTTCTAGAGAAACAGAAAAGGACCTACTTTTATTTTGTGGTAGTCTAATAAATAAAAACACTGTATTAGGATAAATTAACCAGATAATTAAGATACATAGCAGGAGATACAAGACTTGACATTTTTAAACTAAATAATAGAATGTTAGACATTTTTTGTTCTAGTATGCCATTTTTTCTCTTGGAGCTAACAAAATATTGCCAAATTACTGGCTTAGGAAAATCATCTGGGTGCTGTTTGTTTGCTCTTAAGTATCAAAATTTAGTAATTTCAGGGTTCAAGCCCCAGCACCACAAAAAAAAAAGTAGTTTCAGCCTGCATCTTTTTCTGTGAACAGTAAAGATAAATATAATTCCTTACTAGCATGTTTCACTGCTTGTTATTTTTTTTAATAGTCAAGTGGGCAATCTTTTCCAAATGTCCCACAGTTGTCTTTTTATTATACAACTTTTGTCCCCACAAATATTTTTAAGTCTCCTCTAGAAGACTTTGAGGGAAGTTGATTAACGAATAGTTCTACAGAGGCAGGCTTTGATCTTAGGAGAAAACTGTGAAGTTTCTCACCATTAAATACATTATCAGTTGTAGGATTTTTAGACATAACTTTAGCAAATCGAGGACATTCCAAACTATTGCTAGCTTACTAAGACCTTTTCATGAATGTCAGTTTGATTTTGTAACATGCTTTTTCCGCATCTATCAATATGATCTGTAATTTTTCTTCTCTAGCATGTTGATGTGATGGAGTACATTATTTGATTTTTGTACAATGAACTAGATTTGCATACCTGGGTTAAATCTCAGTCCTATCTTAGTTGTCACTGACAAGATGCCTAAAATAATCAAAAGGAGGAAAGATTTATTTTGGCTAATAGTTTCAGTCCATGGTCACTTGGATCTGTTGTTCTGGGTTGGGGCAAGGTAGAACATCATGTCTGGGTGCATGTGGTCAATCAAAGCTGTTTATCTATTAGGAACAGGGAAGCAAAAAAAAGAGAAAAAGGAAGGGACTAATATCCCCATCAAAGGTACATCTCCAGTGACCTAACTTCTTTTCACTAGGCTCCACTTTTTAAAGATTCCACCACCTCCTACAGACTAGTGACCAAACCTTCAACACATGGCCTTCAGGGGACATGTACAACCCAGAGCATAACAGGCCTTCGTGTATAATTTTTTTTACATTACTTAATTTAATTTGTTAATATTTTATTGAGGACTCTTGAATCTATTCTCCTGAGAGATATTGGTTTGTAGTTTTCTTATACTGTCTTTATCTGGTTTTGGTATTAACAGTTATGCTGGCTTCATAGGATGAGTTAGAAAGTTCAGTAAGAGATTGATTCAGTAAGATCTTCTAACTTCTGTAAGAGATTGTAGAGAATCAATATAATTTATTCCTTAAATGTGTGGTATTATTATCCACTGAGCCCTTCTGGACCTAATGTTTTCTGTTTGGAGAGTTATTATTAACTCAATTTCTTCATTTCTGCTACAGTGTTTTCGCATTTCTTTTTTCTTCTTTCATACAATGTCCATTTCTCTGCTTATATTATCCAGCTGATTTTACGTGTTGTTCACCTTTCCATTAAAGCATTTAGCATATTAATAGGTTTTCTTAAATTCCTGGTCTGATAATTCCAACATTCCTGCCATCTCTTACATTAGGATGAAGAGACAATTTCTAAACTCCTTATATGCCAGACCAGAAACTGGAAATCTTTAGGTGAAGTTTTTAAATACTTAAACGGTGAGTGGAACAGGTAGAGAAAGACTCCTTCAGTTTTCTTCTATGAGTAGTACATGTATGGGATATGGGCACCTTGCATATTACGTGGTAATTAAAAGATCATGGCCATGATTGACTTTAACAATTATTCATAAATCTGTTTCCATTTCCTCCTATGTAGATGGCTAGATTATTCTTCAGCCTTTCTTATAGGTGTTATTAAGTAACTGCATCCTGACCATCTAAATGTGGACAGAAGTGATATAAGCACAGGCCTGGCTCATAAAAAGCCTTCCATATGATAGCCTCTTTCCTTTATCACCAAGCTGAATTAATAGGATGCAGAGAACTCCAGGACTAAGGAAATACCAATGACAAAAACAAGGAGTTAGTCTACGAATCATTTTCTAGTGGAATACAAACTGATAATTGGTAATATCTGGAGGATTTTACATAATTGAGAAATCAGCTACTGTTTAAGTTATTGAGACATTTCATAGCAGAAGGAATTATTTTAAATAATAGAGATGAACTGAACTTAATTCAACTTTGTTATTTTAGGAACACTAAAATTATAACTTGATTTACTCATGAAATGATTGAAGTTTGATTAAACTTTAAAATACACTTACCTAGACAGTCATTGAATTACTTATTGAATACTTTTTACATGTTATTCTTTGTTACATTTATAACAAAACATGAGAACATGAAACTCAGATGCAAAATGGTAATTTTGCATTATCAGTGGCCACAGCCAATCAACCCAAGTTTTCTGATTTCAAGTAACATTTCCCCCACTTCCCACCCCACCTTTTTTTTTTTTTTTTTTTAATTTGGAGATAGGATCTCACTAAGTTGCTTAGGGCCTAAGTTGCCAAGACTGGCTTTGAACTTGAAATTCTCCTGCCTTAGCCTCCCAAGCCCCTGAGATTACAGCATTTCCCTCCTTTGAGATGGAAAAAAGAAATTAATTACTAGCATCAATACCTCAACAAGGTTGTCTAGATTCGGTCATATACATTAAGTAGCCACAAAACACTTAATAATTAGCTTCCTAAACAGTTAAAGCATATAAACATTCTTAGGATACAAGTATCTGGTCATGTTATATAGGCATTTTTCACTATGAAAATTTGGTACAGTGAAGTACATTTGGTAGGAAATTAATAATCATAATTGGTTGAAGTTATTTAAGTGTTAGTTTGATGTTCTGAATTTACTCATTAACTCAAAGCCTTTGTGTGTGTGTGTGTGTGTGTGTGTGTGTGTGTGTGTGTGTGTGTGTGATGGTGGTGGTAGTGGTACTAGGGATTGAACCCAGATCTTTACACATGCTGGGGAAGTGTTTTACCATCTTGGTACATCCCCAACCTCAGACATTCTTTGGATGCCAACCATGTGGCATATACCATGCTAGGCACTTAGGCATGCCAACATGGAAGGAGTTCATCTTAATTGAAATCACAGATATAAATAACTAATTAAAATATTATGATTAAGTGAAAATGTACAAAGTGCTGTGAGGCATTGAAAAAATCATGTAGAACTGTAAGAGAAATAGGATGTAAGAGAGGAATTGTTAGCTACAGATAATATTTTACTATTACCTTCTATTAAAGAAGTAGTTTGATTCTCCAGGAACAGAGACTGGAAAAGGTAGGTAGAGTCCAACTTCTGCCCAACAAAAAATCAAGGTATTTTTCCCACTGACTTAAGCTTTTCA